TCAGTTGGGCCACATAGTCTGAAAGCCCATCAGGACCTGGAACTCATATAGGTGTGATGCACGTTTAGTTTCTTCCTAAAAACCCAGTTCATGTGCTTAAAGACAGCGATATGAAGAATAGCACAGTGAGTGGCAGCAGGCAGGAGTCTGGCTTCAAAGGTACATTCCTGATAAAATGAAAACGCTAACCTAGAAGCACCTGTAGCTCCTTAGAGAGACACACACACACCCCTTCAGGGATCCTAAGCTACGTTCCTGCCTTGTATTTCCCTTCTGAGAGCCTCAAGTCCTACCTTAGGCATCTAAGACAGGTACTTAAATCTTGGGAGCTTGAGTGAGTCTCTCATATTTCCCATCACGCAGAACTCATCAGAAGTGTGAGTCCAAAGTATGGACTCGTAATTGCCCGAGGTTGAACATTTTAAAATCAGCTTAAGCTTTTTTCAGACACTACACTTTTTCAGAGACCAGACCCTGTAAGGAAATGGAAAGTGCAATACAAGGATTAGTGCTTAATATAAATAAAATTACATTTTCCAAAAGGTTCCTTGGAATTGCCATACCAGGATGAAAACTGGTCTTTCTTTTTGGCATAGGGAATACTTGAAGGTACTTAGACAATATGTAGCAAAGCTGCTGAACTTCTAGGGGCAACTGTACATTCACAAGATCTTCAGCTTTTTAAATATTTTGTTTGATGTAAGAAACATCCTAAGACATTGAATCAACCAAATCACATTTAAAGTAATAGGCAGCAGTACTGACGACTACCTACTCATGTTTAACTATCCACTTTGAGGTGTTCTGATAAAGTCTATGTGCACAAAGTAAATAAATATATTTTTGTAGAATCAAGGACTAATTTGGAAAATAGTATTTTTCATGATTCTCATCTCAAAGCATATTGATACTGTATATTATTGGTTTGCATTCTTATGAATGTTAGTTCGAATAGACAAAACTTCAAATTACTGGTCTTAAAAAATAACCCACTTACAACTAGTTTGTCTCCACAAACTTTTTGCTGCACTTAATGAACAAAATAAAACGGCCAACATTTTAAAATATCCTGATTTTTATTTCAAAGGTGTCTTCATGCAACTGGAATGCAAAGCTCTTTTGAAAATCTGGAACTGTATTTTTAAACAGATGTAGGAAATTAAACGTATTCATTCACTGAGGAAATCCAGAATAATGTATGCAAATCGGTAACACTTTCATAATAAAATTTTGCTGACACTATAACCTAGCATATGGTTAGTTCCATGAAGGTCAGATCGTTTAAAATTTCCATCATAAAGCAAAGCAAATCAAACCAAATATATTTAGTTATACTTGAGTACATATTTTTGGTATACTATGTAATATCACTTCAATAGGCACAGTACTATAAAGAATTTTTTTTATTAAACTTATTTAAGAATGTCATGACATAAAGAGAACAAATTACATTTTATGCTATGGGTTGGTTGGTTTGCTCTTTTTTGTTAAAATATTTGCTTTCACTTGCATACAGATTTTTAGCAAAAGCTGATAGCTCATTATAATTGTGGGTTTTGTTACTGGGCTGTGTTGACTCACAAAATACTTGTATTCATTATATGTTATGTGTGAAATGATAGGCTGCAACATAAAGCCTGGGTTTTGACATACGTATATGAAGTTCACTATGCTTTAAATGGGAATCTCCTGTAGGAATTTAAATGAAAAATATAGCCATTTAATATGTTTGTAAGTTATATTTCACTATTTCAGGATTAGTTAAAACCCAAAGTTTAAAATTTTCCCTCTTTGGTTCAAGACTGAATTTCTGACCAACTTGCCCTAAAATGGCAAGCCTGGACATAGAGTCACCGCTGAATATTCTGTGAGGTTAGTGTACAACCCCCTGCTGCATTTACAAACCAACGCTGAACTGCAGTCAAGGCTATGGCATTCTATATTCTCACAACATCACTTTTATCTTCTTGAAAATAAATGTATTGATCAAGCCCCACCAGTTTAGCTCTTTGAAATACAGGGGTTTAGAAAAACCAAAAAAAATCAATTTACAGGCTAATGTTTGTCTCTTAAATGTTGTGTATTTAATGCCCAGTTACAAAAGTCACACTGATGAATACAGCAGTTCTACAAACAGAATACTTGACAGAGATCTCTAGGATGCCCTGGTGGAGTCCCAAAAGTTCATGTCATTACCACAGTTCTGCACAAGGAGCATTTTTTTTTTAAAATTAGGAGGGGGGGGGGCTTTCATGTCATGGAATTCCTTAATCTACAGCAATTTGCAATTACATACTTTCTGCTGGTTTGGGTAAATGTTATGTTCATTGAAGCACATTAAACAATGTCCCTTAAACAACTCTCAGTTTCAGTGGTATAACTGTGCACATGACATGAACTGTTGAAGGAAAAACTTTTAACTGGCAGCTGATTAGTTTTAGATTCTGCTATTACCAGCAGAGCGTTTACCGAGGTGTTAGCACATGCCAACACTGTGATAGCTGAATACCACAACAACGCACTAAAAGAAAGGAGATGATTCGGGAGCACAGAGGAGGAGAACTGTCATTAACAGATATTGAGCTTCTGTTTTCAGCGTGGTTGAAGGAAAAACTTTCAACTGGCAGCTGATTAGTTTTAGATTCTGCTATTACCAGCAGAGCGTTTACCGAGGTGTTAGCACATGCCAACACTGTGATAGCTGAATACCACAACAACGCACTAAAAGAAAGGAGATGATTCGGGAGCACAGAGGAGGAGAACTGTCATTAACAGATATTGAGCTTCTGTTTTCAGCGTTGTCAGTGCTCTGTCAAAATTTTTGTTTCCAGTATATGCTTTCTTGACAAGGACAGTGCCAGAGTTACCATCGTTAAACCCCTTAGACTGTTGTAGCTCCAAAATATCTGGAGTTTGCACTCTCTCAGGAACTCAAGGTGCCATGGACAGCCACGGTAGTTTTATGTGTCATTCAGAGACCAGGATGTGACCCCCTTGTGTAGGGACATTTCATATAAACAAACATACGATGATGACTATGAAAATGTTGGCTTTTGATGACACTTAAAGCATTTCATAGCTGGATTATGACATCATTCCATTGTATTTAGCATGGAAAATACATGTGTAACCCTTGGAGGTGTACTACTAAGAAGTGAGCATGTGCTGAAAGTCATTTGAAAGTGATAAAAGAGTCCCCAGAAAATATGTTTTCAGATTATTTGCAACTAGTATCAAGTGAGATCAGCTGTACTTCAAGGCAAGGATACGCTCACACACATATCCAAATACTTCTAATGCAAAGCAGAAAAAACAGAGACATGATTTGCCCCTACAGTTCATTCATGTTTTGTCCCTGCCTTGCATTTTGAATTGTTCCCATTTTGAAAAAGCTTTCCTCTGGCTTCACTTCTGAAGTTTTAATTATCTTAATATGTAGAAAGGGATGTGACAGAATTAGTCTTTCTGTTAAACAAGGCAGATGGTGTCCATAACTCTTACGTGCTATGTACTTTTATAACAAGTCTAAGTGTGGGGGGGAAGTTTTGATTTCAATATAATAAACAGAAACCCCACAAAGTACTATTTAAGATGTTATGGACACACTGTAGCTGCACTAACTGTTCTTTCTGCAGTTTTTTAGGTTCTCTTATCCTGTCTGGCAAAAAAAATCCCTCACCTTTTCTGTTGTTTCAGCTATATCCCACATATGTTCCCACCATTTTTCAATCTTCACTGATGTGTATAATAGCACAAAATTTAATTATTTTGCAAAATGATATTTAAATAAAGTTATTCATTTTAAATTTACAACTCCCTCAGATTTCATCATTAAATGATACTCTGGAACCAGTATGTGGTCCAGAGTGATGTAATATTCTTAACATACAAAGACATTACGCATTCTGCCATCTATTCTTTACAGGTTATTTAATTTATTCCTGTCTTTTACTAACAATATATAAAAAAAGATTTTTTTAAGAATTCAATGGATGGACTAATTTTTCAAGTATAATGTAGAATGTCTATTTTGCTGAGAGCCTGAGTGGAACAGAGGTTCTACTTATGATGTGAAATCAAGGTTAAACATGGAAACAATATATTAGGTGGATTGTCTCTGAAACAAATTCAACAGCTAAGTCTTGTGAACAAAGACTATTAGATTTACAGAATTTAATTCTTGACAAAAAAAAAAGGAGGAAGTAAATAGCAGACATGATATTTTACGCACTTGCACTTAATTTGTAATTAAAATTAAATTCACATCACATTATTTTTACTTGAAGAAGAGGGACTTACTCATGGACAGGTGTTTTGCTTTCTGTGGCTTGGTTGTTTTTTTTTTTTAATGTATCAGTCAAACATGGGTATATTTTTTTTTTTGTTTTTTTTTGACTAAAAGAACAAAACAGAAAGAGTAGCATGACTCCATGTATGGACACAAGTATGAATTTACAACAGTGCTTAAAGTGCTTTCTTATTTGAGGAGATACACAAATGCCTTTTCATGCTTATCTCCTTGTCACCAAGTACTATATGCTTGTTGCTTGCTCTTATGTCATTTATAATATAATGATAGGGTATTAAGTTCATACTCAGAGTTTAGTATATTGTCATAAAAAACATCTGAAAACAGGAAAATGACAATTCTATTTGTGTATTATTACAGCAATTTGAAAATTTTATTAAATACTGAAGTGCTTCATTTCGTCATTTATTCCTTTGCTTCCAGTGTTGCTTAAAGCACTATGTAAGTACAAATAGATCATACTAAAAGCATATCCATCCTATTCTGGGGTTTCGACTAGGATTGTTTACTGAAGTCTTGCAGAACAGAGATGAATTTATGATCCCACGTGACCATTTATCTGCTGATGCTGCAAGATGTCTTGCCTCCAGGATTGGTTTCCACGTACATGGTTCACCAAAGGTCTACATCTTATGAATATTTATACATTGTTATGTCTTGTTGTTAAGTGGCAGTGTTGTAATGTGAGATGTCAAGTAGTGTACTTTAATTTGCCAGTACCAGAAGTTGTGGGAGCAGCAGAAGCCGTGGCTTGACTGTTTACATACAAAGGGTCCAAACAAGCCACTTTGGCTGCAAAGAATGAATGGATACAGTGAAGGACTGCAAACAGGTTGGAAAACTCCAGCTCCTGGAAGTGAAAACAAAAAGATTAAACATGAAACAAAAGAACACCTCACAAACACACACCCGGGAATGAACCGCTATTTAAATAGCAATAATTTTAATAGTTTGATGTAATTCTGCTAATGTGCCTGACAATTCTCCATTATAGAGACTTAGACATTCAGTTATCCCCATTCAGTAAATAATTGTTTGGAGGCTAAAATGGACAAATTTCTAAGTTAAGTGCCTCCATAGACATATGAGATCCTACCAGCTAAAGGGGAAGGAAAGTTACACTATATAATTTTTTTTTTTGCCTCAGGTTAATGCAAATCTGGCACTTTTGCAGGTGAATTTAGGTAGAAATTGAATGACTGCACCGTAACAGTCTACGCATCTCTGGACTACTACTGTATACCCAATGTACCCACAAAGATCAGTAACGTTGAGTTCCACATATGTTCCATTTGTTCATCATGGTACCTCACACTGGTAGCTATCATCTTACCTATGCCGATTCTTTAACTAAAAAAAAAAAAAAAAAAAAAAAAAAAAAAAAAAAAAAAAAAAAAAAAAAAAAAAAAAAAAAAAAAAAAAAAAAAAAAAAAAAAAAAAAAAAAAAAAAAAAAAAAAAAAAAAAAAAAAAAAAAAAAAAAAAAAAAAAAAAAAAAAAAAAAAAAAAAAAGACACATTTTCAAAAAGTGCTACTATCACACAGTGATATCCTGGATCTGTTTTCATTGACAGGGTTACTGTTATTGGACCAAAAAAAGGATCAGACTCCATGTTTTAAACCTATTAGCAATATTAGACAAGGTCCTTCTTTTTCTACTTTAATTTACATTTCTTTATAGCTGCCCAGCACACGATTAGACTAGCTGGGACTCTTTCAGACACCACTACAGAGGAAATATATAAAACCTACATTTTTTATATATATAAATTTGCTCCTTTGTGTCTAATTGACTTTATCTGATCAATCTTTTTAAAGTTATCTTCAGTATGTGTTTTTGGAGTTGGCATTTAATCAATAAATATGTTAAATTTGAAAGCAAATACTGAGGTGTTTGAATACATATGAGTGTAGGGATGGTGGTGCAGAGCTGCCATCTTTCTGCTTTGATTCACTGCCTATACAGATTTCTTCATTGTAATATGAAGCTAGTAATAGATATCTGTGGTACATTCTATTTGTCTTTCTGTCCAGCACTGGTATTTCCAGGCTATGTAGTGCCAAGGGTTTTGCTTTTTTGTTTAGAAGAATATTGATAATGTCGTAAATTCAGCAAAAATTGCTAAATCTCTCAAAATGACATTAACCTGGAATTCTCTGCCTTTTGAGATTTCTTGGAAGATACTGCTTCACGTAATTCATGGGGACATTCACAAATCCCTCATGTGCGAGGGGGAACAACTGCCTGAAAGCAGACAGCTGCATGTGCAGAGTGTCCAGTGATGTACTGAATGGGTGGAGCTTTGTTCAGCTCTCTTACAACAGGAGCAGACGTCCTTCAGACATGCTCAGAAATGAATTTATAACATCCCACAAGCTTCTTTAAACTCCCCTAACTACCAATTCTCAATAAAGAAGATAAAGTTTATGCCAAGTTTCACAAACCTGCCATCTGTGTCCATTTAAAAAAATCTGTTTAGAGATGTTCTCATTTTTAAACACTGGGAGAAGGGCAATTTTAGCACTATGCCAAACATTTATTTCCTTCCTCAAATTTCAAAATAAGAAAATTTATCATAGATAGGAAAATAATGGAAATTCAAAGATGAGGAAACAAGGAATTATGGAAGCTATTTCAGAATAAGAACTATTAGTCATTCAAATTAAGTTACTTTTCAGTTAACTCCTTTTTATTAATATAATATTATTTATCCTTCTGGTACTATAAAAATAAAACTGAAGCTTAAGATGAGAGAATAAATATTTAGTGGAACAGTGAAATACTCGTAATATCAATTCTGTGTGTTATCTGTAGAAAGATGACATTTCCCCCTATGTCTCAATAGGATAAGCTTATTAAAACAAATATTACAGTTTGAGAATTGTTCAAGTCAATTAGGTAACCCTACTAGCTGAAAGTTCTTACTATCATAATTACGGCTAGTGGACACTGAATTTTCACAGTGCATTAGTACAATTATTACCAACAGTTTTCACAGGTGTTTCTGCAACAGTAACACATTGGGAAGATCCATTGCTCAATGGACCTTCAAGGAAAATGCGTGAGGCAACAGAACAGCCTCTGAAGGTCCCATTGTATTACTATTATCAATAGTAATGATGCAACGCAGAAATTACCTTGACTGCAAAGATGCGCACTAAGAAGTCAGCAAATGCTAGATTATTATTTGCCATGAAACATTATTCCTATTTCAAGGTAGACATGCATATTTAACTGGAAATTAAAGCAATGTGAAGCACAGTAGGATGACTGGTATGTGGTGAGTACATACAGGTCTGATTAATGGCTGCAGCTCAATTCACAGGAGCCTGATTGATGGGAACGAGATGTATCAGTAACAACACTTTTCTGGCAGATTAGCCTAATCACAAGAAAGCTTAATGAACAGATAAGACTTCATGTAGAGCTGCTGACAGACAAAACATTCCCTCACTTCTGCTGAGAACTTGCACTTTTAGCTGCCCACGGGTCTGCACTACTGCCAGCAGATGGAGGGGAACCCACAAGCTTTTGTGCATGCCTAGCCACCCCTGGGTTTTTTTGTGTCTACTTTGTTGTCAGTCATCCTCTTGTCTGAATTCACTTTCATCTAGGCAGGGTATTGTGTATTGCACACCCAGCTTCAGATGAAGTTTCAAATAAACAAACAGGCAAACCCTAAGAAACCTGAAGAAATATGCAGTGAAGCCTTTAAAGTTGCTACCAGTAGGGGAAAGCAAATGATCTGAGTCCCAAAAAAGCGAAGAAATCCAAACTTAAGCCACATCTACTTGTCCATGCACAAGTACACAATTTACTATTATTCCAATTTCCAGACTGTTGTCTGTACACCTCACCTAAGACCCTACTCTCCTAGGAATATCAGTGTACCCTCTGGTCTTCAAATTGTCTTTCTAAGCTATCTCTTGATCAAACTGCTTTCACCCTACATTGCTGTTATTATATCAGACATTGCCAGATTAGTGATCTGAACATTCACAGTTTCTGCTGAGGGCAATGTAAGTGGGCAGAAAGGTACGTGAGAAAGATGCAGTCATTGAGCATGGTCAGAAGTGTATGGGAATTCTAGTAACCTTTCACAAAGAAAGTCTGGATTGAAAGGACAGGGATGAAAAGAGAAAACAGAGAGAGTGCCCCCAGATGAAAAAAACCCAAACTCTTATTGTAATATATAATGATACAACTACATAAACAATACATCTACAAAATCAAGCAATTGTAAGTTTGTAAGTATTCATATATGGTTAGAAAAAAATCTTTTCTTTCATCCATATATAAACTGCTGATATGAGAAGATATTTGTTCTTTCATCAAACGTGTTGTTACATGGTCTCTCTATATTAGCATAGAATCTGATCTAAAATAGATATTAAACAGATAATCCATGTGCAAGACATGGGGAAACTAAAAATTGAATCACACAAACCTACACAGGTTAGAAATATGAACTCAGAATGCAGTCACTGCAGTTGAGCAATCACTCTGTAAAAATCCTGAGGATGTATACTTAAAATCCATTCAGATGATATTCTAAATTTGAAGAGCACTGTGATGCTCACAGAAAAACCCTCAAGGCTAAGAATAAGGATTAATTTAAAATTATATTTTGGAGAATATACTTGAAATTAGCAGAAACGTCAGTCTGGAAAATGGTGCAAGCATCCATCAAGGCACCTTGCAACACTTGAAAGTGAGCATTTTGCTCACATTACAACAGCAGTGACTCAGGCTATTTGCCTTGTTTTAGATTAGATATCTATACAAGATAATTTCAAGTACAAATTAATTGGTGTTAATTACTATTAAGGTAGTATTAATTAATTAATAAGTATTAATGCTAAATCCTTGAAGTTACACTTCTTCCTTTGCTGATACCATATTTCTGCCCTCTTCTGTTCTCCATATTCAAATAGACAACAAAAATTGACTGGATCTTCACCTTGATGTGCTGATTTTTGTATTCACTTCAGTTTTGTAACACTCAGCTTGGGGGTTCAGCTAGTCTGTGAACAAAAGCTAACCTGATGCAGCACAGCTGTGTGACCTCGCCTTAGTTTTTCTGACAAAACTGTTGAGCTGTGAAAAATCCCTGCAAATTGAGAAAAGTGAAAGCACAGACTGAAGTGTAACTTTTGGGTTACACATATGTTTTACAAGGCACAGAAACTCTCAGTTCACAGAAATTACCGATTGGTGTGTTTACTTACAAAATTGAAATGGAAATTACATGTAATAAAAAAACCACCACTGATGCTGATTTTTATATACATTATAGAATCATAGAATCATAGAATCATTGAGGTTGGAAAAGACCTCTAAGATCATCAAGTCCAACCAT